AATTATAACCTTAATTTTTAAAGGAGTGGAGAGGTAAGCCAGCGGAAGGCCTCGGTCAGATGACCAAAAGCTGCTGCGGGTCATCATATGACTGAAGACCAACATCAGGAAACACTTGTCCTGTTTCCTGACAAACCTTACCTAGCTTATACCTTTGAAGACTTTCGAGAGTTTCACTACTCTCGGAGCCCGGCCATGGGCTGTTCTCTACACTGATATAAAACATGATGGTTGATGTCTCTCTCTGCCTCCCATGCTGTTCTCTCTCTCTCATCTGTGTTGATTTTTATTCATGTAATTCCAATAGAGTACAGTTTTCATTTCTTCATGTGGCATTAACAGAACTGCGGCTAGCCAGGATTCGGTCCTGCATTCCCATCCCCAGCTCTCTGAGAATAGGACACAGTACACATACCTCTATTTACTGGACCACAAATTCTCCCAGTGGATAGATGGATGCTTACTGTGTCCTGTTCTCACAGGGCTGGGCATGGGACCGCAGGACCGAATCCTGGCCAGCCGCAGTTCCGTTAATGATTCAAAATCATTTGTTTCGTGATTTCATTAATACTCGGCAGGAGATGCAACATTCCCTCAATGAGAGGCAGGGGGGCCACAAGTACACTAAGAGACAACACAACATGTGTAAGGGGCCCAAGACTGTTTGACTGCTTCCCAGCATACATAAAGGGGATTACCAATAGACCCTTGGCTGTCTTCTAGAAGGCACTGGTAATAGTAACATGTGTAAATTACCTAGGATAACTCCACAAAAGTCAAATAAAGTGAGTGACCATCCCCTCTTTCATTGCTATCTTTCCACCCCTCCCCTCCGAACCTCTGTTGTAACCTTTGCAAAGAAAAAAAAAATTGTACGTATTTGTATTTGTATTATCATCTCCGGGACCTGACTGCCCGGGTTATGACTTTCAAGACAGCCAAAGTCAATGATCACTGCCTTATCTGATGAGCACAAAAAACTTGCTGTGTCCACATCCCGGACCACTTCTGAAAGCACAAGATGCAAAAATTTGCAGCTGGAAGCTTCTGGGCAGCAGGTGAAAGCATAGCGATCTAAAATACCGTGGATTGCTGATTTAGAATCATAAATAGAGTTCTCAGGGTATAAGGTAAATGGACATCTTTGCTGAGTTTGGATATTATAAATTTAGTTCAATCCCCAGGTACTGGAGTTTACCTGGAGAGAGTTCCGGGGGTCAACGCCCCCGCGGCCCGGTCTGTGACCAGGCCTCCTGGTGGATCAGAGCCTGATCAACCAGGCTGTTGCTGCTGGCTGCACGCAAACCAACGTACAAGCCACAGCCCGGCTGATCCGGAACTGACTTTAGGTGCTTGTCCAGTGCCAGCTTGAAGACTGCCAGGGGTCTGTTGGTAATCCCCCTTATGTGTGCTGGGAGGCAGTTGAACAGTCTCGGGCCCCTGACACTTATTGTATGGTCTCTTAACGTGCTAGTGACACCCCTGCTTTTCATTGGGGGGATGTTGCATCGTCTGCCAAGTCTTTTGCTTTCGTAGTGAGTGATTTTCGTGTGCAAGTTCGGTACTAGTCCCTCTAGGATTTTCCAGGTGTATATAATCATGTATCTCTCCCTCCTGCGTTCCAGGGAATACAGGTTTAGGACCCTCAAGCGCTCCCAATAATTGAGGTGTTTTATCTCCGTTATGTGCGCCGTGAAAGTTCTCTGTACATTTTCTAGGTCGGCAATTTCACCTGCCTTGAAAGGTGCTGTTAGTGTGCAGCAATATTCCAGCCTAGATAGAACAAGTGACCTGAAGAGTGTCATCATGGGCTTGGCCTCCCTAGTTTTGAAGGTTCTCATTATCCATCGTGTCATTTTTCTAGCAGATGCGATTGATACAATGTTATGGTCCTTGAAGGTGAGATCCTCCGACATGATCACTCCCAGGTCTTTGACGTTGGTGTTTCGCTCTATTTTGTGGCCAGAATTTGTTTTGTACTCTGATGAAGATTTAATTTCCTCATGTTTACCATATCTGAGTAATTGAAATTTCTCATCGTTGAACTTCATATTGTTTTCTGCAGCCCACTGAAAGATTTGGCTGATGTCCGCCTGGAGCTTTGCAGTGTCTGCAATGGAAGACACTGTCATGCAGATTCGGGTGTCATCTGCAAAGGAAGACACGGTGCTGTGGCTGACATCCTTGTCTATGTCGGATATGAGGATGAGGAACAAGATGGGAGCGAGTACTGTGCCTTGTGGAACAGAGCTTTTCACCGTAGCTGCCTCGGACTTTACTCTGTTGACGACTACTCTCTGTGTTCTGTTAGTGAGGAAATTATAGATCCATCGACCGACTTTTCCTGTTATTCCTTTAGCACGCATTTTGTGCACTATTACGCCATGGTCACACTTGTCGAAGGCTTTTGCAAAGTCTGTATATATTACATCTGCATTCTTTTTGTCTTCTAGTGCATTTAGGACCTTGTCGTAGTGATCCAATAGTTGAGACAGACAGGAAGAGATGACTGAGATATTTCAAGTTTAAGACAGCCATGTTGCCCTGGGTTGTGTAACTGATGGGTTTCTAGATGGGTGGTGATCTTGCTTCTTAGGACCCTTTCAAAGATTTTTATGATATGGGATGTTAGTGCTATTGGTCTGTAGTTCTTTGCTGTTGCTTTACTGCCCCCTTTGTGGAGTGGGGCTATGTCTGTTGTTTTTAGTAACTGTGGGACGACCCCTGTGTCCATGCTCCATCTCCATAGGATGGAAAAGGCTCATGATAGGTGCTTCAGGCCCCAGTACCTGGGGAATGGGAAATAACCAGGGTTCACCACTTAAAATGATCACACACCAAGATTATCAGTATTTAATATAATTGGCTCATCTACTACTACTACCATTACTAATACCACTACTAGTACCACTACTACTGGTACCAATTCGACTTTTTGGGGTTATTCTAGATACTTTACACTATGATAATTGTACTTAAGTGTACCTGTGCCTAAACAAACTTACTAGATCTACTTATCAATACTGTATACACAACAACATCAATGTATCTTGGTACAGAGAACATTTCTACAAGTTAGTTGCTCAGCCACTTGTTATGACTGACAAGAGTTGAATTTGAGGACCTGCCTAGCATGGGCCAGTAGGCTTACTGTGCTGCTTCTTAATTCTTATTCCTGTGGCTCCATCTCAACTTTCACACCTCACTTCTGGTTCAAGTATAAGAAGGCTACATTCTCATGCTTCAGCTGCACATTAATTGAAGCCAGGAGCTGCAACTTGACCTCTGTAAACACAGCTAACCCAGATACTGAAAGGAACATGTTTGGTAAAATAGAGGATAGAGAGGAACCTTTGGATGACTCTCAGTTTGTCCTTGATAATTGGCATATCATAACTATACGAGTTTTTGTTAACTAGAATGTCAATGTTAATCTGCTGTACATATTAGGGAATCTTTTTTTTTATGACTACATATTGAGGTTGGAAGGAAGGGGTAAGGGAGGTTTTGTGGGCGAGGGGCTTGGACTTCCAGCAGGCGTGCATGAGCGTGTTCGATAGGAGTGAATGGAGACGAATGGTATTTGGGACCTGACGATCTGTTGGAGTGTGAGCAGGGTAATATTTAGTGAAGGGATTCAGGGAAACCGGTTATTTTTATATAGCTGGACTTGAGTCCTGGAAATGGGCAGTACAATGCGTGCACTTTAAAGGAGGGGTTTTGGGATATTAGCAATTTGGAGGGACATGTTGTGTATCTTTATACGTATATGCTTCTAAACTGTTGTGTTCTGAGCACCTCTGCAAAAACAGTGATAATGTGTGAGTGAGGTGAAAGTGTTGAATGATGATGAAAGCATTTTCTTTTTGGGGATTTTCTTTCTTTTTGGGTCACCCTGCCTCGGTGGGAGATGGCTGACTTGTTGAAAAAAAAAAAAAAATTGAGGTCTCAGAATCTACATTCTTGAAAGCTGTAGAATGAAGGTAGAGATGACTGAGATATTTCAAGTTTAAGACAGCTATGAATAAAGGACACATAAATAACATGTTCAGAATAAACCATCAGTATAATACACCTCTATATAACAGACTTCAGACAAATGGAGCAAAACCAGCTGGGTCAGCCTATTCAGAAACGATGGACAAAGTCCACTGATTACACTATTTTCTATTGTTATTATAACGGCAAAATAATCTCTTTTCTGTCCACCCACACACCATTGCTGGCCACCTGCTACCCCATGTTAGTCCATTATCGAAACTAGTATTAACCAAGAAATAACTCAAAACGGTGGATTCCATTTGGGAAAATTCACTCATTTAGCAATAGAGTTGTTGATGAGTAGAACAGTCTTGAGCAAGCTAAACTTACTAGAGTCATAGAGTACTAGCTTTAAACCTACTAGGGTCATACAGCACTAGCTTTAAACCTACTAGGGTCATACAGCACTAGCTTTAAACCTACTAGGGTCATACAGCACTAGCTTTAAACCTACTAGGGTCATACAGCACTAGCTTTAAACCTACTAGGGTCATACAGCACTAGCTTTAAACCTACTAGGGTCGTACAGCACTAGCTTTAAACCTACTAGGGTCGTACAGCACTAGCTTTAAACCTACTAGTTTCGTACAGCACTAGCTTTAAAAATGAATTTGATAGATATAGGAGTGATGAGGGTCAGGCCAGTAGGCCTACTGTAGTTCTTCTCTATTGTTATGTTTTTATAATAAGGGTTCCCCATGATTGTGATAACACCCTCTAATAATAATCCTCATGTGGTCGAGGATACCACTCGAGAAGAGGAATTCCCAGAGGTGAAAGTTGAGACTGGAAGTCATGAGAGCAGGTGACCTGTCAAACCTGTTCCATCCATCAGTAAAAACCATATGAGAGAGAGAGAGAGAGGTGAGCAGGCACACACACAAACACACACACTATATGTTTATGTATGTATATACAATTTATTTATGTAACATTCATGTGGTCATATTTGTATTCAGGTTGAACACGAGGCGTGTTTGGACTTAGAAATTAAGATTGACCGAGGAGAGTCCATCACTAAGGGCAGCACACTACAGGACTTGAGTGAGTATATTGTTATTGTTGTATTATCTACAGTCAGCCACTAAATCTACACGAGTCATTCATTCAGTGAGTATATATATGCCATAGTGCATGCGAGCCCAGTTTGTGATGTGGTTTGTTGTATGATCAAGAGTTAATATACATAAGGTGTCTGATTCCATTTTTAATGTAGAACGTAATATTTTTATTTGCTTGAATTAAGTCCTGTCATTGGATATAAAATATGGCATCGTTAGATAAGTGAAAAGCACATAATTGCTCGAAGCGGAATAGCCTTCACTTTGGATAACCTGCCAATTTATGAAATTTTATTTAGTGTTCTGGCTTTTAATTAATATCAAAGCACTATTGTGTGATTACTTAATGCATTATTCAAACATGGGGGTACTCATATAAATATTAAAATTTAAAAGCTCCATAGCATTTGAATATATTTTCCATTTTCAGTGGACACTCCTGATCCATATGTGATACTAAGAATACCTGGTAGTTCCAACCCCTCCAAAAGAACCAGCCATGTGGACAACTGTACCAATCCTCTCTGGAATGAAACTTTTCACTTTTACCTGGATCCTTCAAAAGAATATACCTTAAGTAAGTATTTTATTTTTTGTACCAGAGACCCACATAAAGGATCACTTGGACAACGAAATATGGATCCCAGGTTACAACCTATACAGATGTGACAGAGTGAACAGGCAAAAGGGGGGGGTTGGCCTGTACATTGCAGAGTCACTTGTTTGCACAGAACTGCTTAATGCCTCAAATGACGTAGTGGAAGTTTTAGCAGTAAAGGTCGAGAACCAAAACCTAGTCATTGTGGTAGTCTACAAGCCTCCGGATGCAACATCCCAGCAATTCCAGGAACAGCTGTTAAAAATTGACCACTGTCTGGAAAATCTTCCAGCTCCTGCACCCAACATCTTGCTCCTGGGGGATTTCAACTTAAGGCACCTAAAATGGAGGAATATAGCAAATAATATTGTTGCAGTAATAACACCAGGAGGCAGCTCTGATGAAAACTCACACTCACACGAGCTTTTAAATCTCTGCACAAAATTCAATTTAAACCAGCAAATAATAGAGCCTACTAGACTGGAGAATACACTAGACCTCATCTTCACTAACAATGATGATCTGATAAGAAATGTCACCATATCAAAAACAATATACTCAGATCACAACATAATTGAGGTTCAGACATGTATGCGTGGAGCCCCAGACCGACAAAATGAGACTAGTCACGAGGGAGCATTCACCAAATTCAACTTCAGTAACAAAAACATAAAGTGGGACCAAGTAAACCAAGTCCTAACCGATATAAGCTGGGAAGATATACTAAGCAACACAGACCCAAACTTATGCCTAGAACAGATTAACTCGGTGGCACTCGATGTATGCACAAGGCTTATTCCTCTAAGAAAAAGGAGGAGTAGATGTAAAATAGAAAGAGACAGGCGCTCCCTTTACAGGCGACGGAAAAGAATAAACAGATGCGGCTAAAAGAGGTCAATATATCTGAAATGCGCAGGGAGACACTGGTCAGAGAAATAGCAAGCATCGAACTTAAGCTAAAAGAATCCTTTAGGAGTCAGGAATCGCGGGAAGAACTAAAAGCCATAAATGAAATCGAAAGAAACCCAAAGTATTTCTTCTCCTATGCCAAATCAAAATCGAGAACAACGTCCAGTATTGGGCCCCTACTTAAACAAGATGGGTCCTACACAGATGACAGCAAGGAAATGAGTGAGCTACTCAAGTCCCAATATGACTCAGTTTTTAGCAAGCCGCTAACCAGACTGAGAGTCGAAGATCAAAATGAATTTTTATGAGAGAGCCACAAAATTTGATTAACACAAGCCTATCCGATGTTATCCTGACGCCAAATGACTTCGAACAGGCGATAAATGACATGCCCATGCACTCTGCCCCAGGGCCAGACTCATGGAACTCTGTGTTCATCAAGAACTGCAAGAAGCCCCTATCACGAGCCTTTTCCATCCTATGGAGAGGGAGCATGGACACGGGGGTCGTCCCTCAGTTACTAAAAACAACAGACATAGCCCCACTCCACAAAGGGGGCAGTAAAGCAACAGCAAAGAACTACAGACCAATAGCACTAACATCCCATATCATAAAAATCTTTGAAAGGGTCCTAAGAAGCAAGATCACCACCCATCTAGAAACCCATCAGTTACACAACCCAGGGCAACATGGGTTTAGAACAGGTCGCTCCTGTCTGTCTCAACTACTGGATCACTACGACAAGGTCCTAAATGCACTAGAAGACAAAAAGAATGCAGATGTAATATATACAGACTTTGCAAAAGCCTTCGACAAGTGTGACCATGGCGTAATAGCGCACAAAATGCGCGCTAAAGGAATAACAGGAAAAGTCGGTCGATGGATCTATAATTTCCTCACTAACAGAACACAGAGAGTAGTCGTCAACAGAGTAAAGTCCGAGGCAGCTACGGTGAAAAGCTCTGTTCCACAAGGCACAGTACTAGCTCCCATCTTGTTCCTCATCCTCATATCCGACATAGACAAGGATGTCAGCCACAGCACCGTGTCTTCCTTTGCAGATGACACCCGAATCTGCATGACAGTGTCTTCCATTGCAGACACTGCAAGGCTCCAGGCGGACATCAACCAAATCTTTCAGTGGGCTGCAGAAAACAAATATGAAGTTCAACGATGAGAAATTTCAATTACTCAGATATGGTAAACATGAGGAAATTAAATCTTCATCAGAGTACAAAACAAATTCTGGCCACAAAATAGAGCGAAACACCAACGTCAAAGACCTGGGAGTGATTATGTCGGAGGATCTCAACTTCAAGGACCATAACATTGTATCAATCGCATCTGCTAGAAAAATGACAGGATGGATAATGAGAACCTTCAAAACTAGGGAGGCCAAGCCCATGATGACACTCTTCAGGTCACTTGTTCTATCAAGGCTGGAATATTGCTGCACTCTAACAGCACCTTTCAAGGCAGGTGAAATTGCCGACCTAGAAAATGTACAGAGAACTTTCACGGCGCGCATAACGGAGATAAAACACCTCAATTACTGGGAGCGCTTGAGGTTTCTAAACCTGTATTCCCTGGAACACAGGAGGGAGAGATACATGATTATATACACCTGGAAAATCCTAGAGGGACTAGTACCGAACTTGCACACGAAAATCACTCACTACGAAAGCAAAAGACTTGGCAGACGATGCACCATCCCCCCAATGAAAAGCAGGGGTGTCACTAGCACGTTAAGAGACCATACAATAAGTGTCAGGGGCCCGAGACTGTTCAACTGCCTCCCAGCACACATAAGGGGGATTACCAACAGACCCCTGGCAGTCTTCAAGCTGGCACTGGACAAGCACCTAAAGTCAGTTCCTGATCAGCCGGGCTGTGGCTCGTACGTTGGTTTGCGTGCAGCCAGCAGCAACAGCCTGGTTGATCAGGCGCTGATCCACCAGGAGGCCTGGTCACAGACCGGGCCGCGGGGGCGTTGACCCCCGAAACTCTCTCCAGGTAAACTCCAGGTAATAAGCATACAACAATAACAACCTGGTTGATCAGGCCCTGATCCACCATGATGCCTGGTCACAGACCAAGCTGCAGGTGCATTGACATCCCCCCAGAACCCTCTCCAGGTATACTCTAGGTATACAGAAAAAAATAATAAACCGCAGCACAGATAATAAATAAGATTCTATATACTATAACGTTTCCATCCATGCTGAGGACTGAACCACAGATACTCAAAGTGTGAGGTGTGAACCTTGGCAACCAAGCCACGAGACACTGTACTTTGCATATTAAATTTACCAGCCCAAGCATTAAAATAACCTTATCTCATTTGAACAAGAGAATAATTTTAATTTGAAGGCTAAACAAGGAGCTGCCTCATTCAGTGGTCATGTAAAGAGTAAGATTCTTTCTTTAAATGTTTTCATGTATATTTTGTGAAATTACGTGACAGAAAAGAATTCTCAAAATTCATGCTGTAAATTTTGAAAGCTGCATAGGCCAGGATTGTTTATTCAAAATGCTTTGACTTAAGAGAAAACCCATTTGGTGGTTTCCATACCAGCTACAGTAGTTGTTCAGTTTAGGTTAGTGACATGCTGCAACCCACTGCCATTGATTTGAAAATGATTAAGAGTAAGTGTACATAATCTCTGAAATGCTACACTCGACTTTTGTGGCAGGCGCTGTGTGGACCCTATGGGTTTAGCACACCAATGAATGTACAGTACTGTATATCTGGAGAGGGTTTCGGGGGGTCAATGCCCCTGTGACCCGGTACATGACCAGACCTCCCGGTGGATCAGGGCTTGATCAACCAGGCTGTTACTGCTGACAGCACGCATGCCGACATATGAATCACAGAATCTACCTGCATGGGTGCTTTAGAAGCAGTCAGTTGATGATCCTGTGCTACATTGGAATGGGTTCCAAGAACTGCTACTGAGAAAGAGTTAGTCCCTCTACAGTTTTGCACTTTTTTATGCTGGTGAAGGACTCTTGATCCAAGGAATTGGAGCCAACCTTTCTTTCCTTGGATCAATCCTGATTACCTCCCATTCCCCAGGTGCTGTATGAGCCTTATGGGTTCTGTACTTCCTAATAAATATAATAATAATACTCTACAGTTTTACTCTCCAGGTACTTAGTGTAAATTGGTATTTCTAGTGGTTTGTAAACCTAAATAAAAAGTACATTTACATTTCTCAGTACTTTGAATTATGGATTAAATGCTATAAATGAACATACAATCTCTCCTCACTTAACAAAGGAGTTCTGTTCCTAAGACCACGTCGTTAAACAAATTCGTCACTAAGTGAGGAGCATACTGTAATGGTAGTGAGTTTGTGTCAACCATCTTTGATATTGCTTTAATGTCACCTTTTCACCATTTATAACATTTCTGGTATATTTTTAAATGTTTATACAGTAGTGTACTGTACTATATTGAAATAAACAGAATAGAGAAAATCAATTCTAATATAGTATTATTTAGGTATAAATACTCTTGGAGAGGCATTCCCTCAGTTTGAAGCCTAACCTTTTAAAGCCTTTACTCTATTCTTTTGCAGAAGCGATATTAATGGATGCCAACTACACAATGGATGAAACTCTAGGGGAGGACACCTTTTGTGTCAATGAACTACCTAATGACATTCCTATGCCTTACACATTTATCTTCCCTGGTGGCTCCAAGGTTCATGCAGTTCTTACGCTACAGAAAAAGTAAGTACACAGTATTGTAGTACAATACATTTATTTGTCCATTTTAGATCAACAATGCTGATGTTTCATTTGACTTGTTAATTTGTTTTCCATTTACCATCAATTACGTGCAATTGTAGCACATCTTGCCATAATTGCTAGGTCTATTCAGTTCTGTTTTGGATGGGCAAGGCCTGGGAGACATCATCATACAGTATGGCGCTCTTCCATAATTATTCTACGAATGCACAGATTCGCAAATAATTCTGATAGTCCATATTTAAGACAACCGAGTCAACACTCCATGCAGATCAGGACTATTTTTAGGTATATTTCGCATAGTTTACCTAAATTATTATAATTTTTTTTTATTTATTTTTTTATTATCACACCGGCCGATTCCCACCAAGGCAGGGTGGCCCGAAAAAGAAAAACTTTCACCATCATTCACTCCATCACTGTCTTCCCAGAAGGGTGCTTTACACTACAGTTTTTAAACTGCAACATTAACACCCCTCCTTCAGAGTGCAGGCACTGTACTTCCCATCTCCAGGACTCAAGTCCGGCCCGCCGGTTTCCCTGAATCCCTTCATAAATGTTACCTTGCTCACACTCCAACAGCACGTCAGTATTAAAAACCATTTGTCTCCATTCACTCCTATCAAACACGCTCACGCATGCCTGCTGGAAGTCCAAGCCCCTCGCACACAAAACCTCCTTTACCCCCTCCCTCCAACCCTTCCTAGGCCGACCCCTACCCCGCCTTCCTTCCACTACAGACTGATACACTCTTGAAGTCATTCTGTTTCGCTCCATTCTCTCTACATGTCCGAACCACCTCAACAACCCTTCCTCAGCCCTCTGGACAAACAGTTTTGGTAATCCCGCACCTCCTCCTAACTTCCAAACTACGAATTCTCTGCATTATATTCACACCACACATTGCCCTCAGACATGACATCTCCACTGCCTCCAGCCTTCTCCTCGCTGCAACATTCATCACCCACGCTTCACACCCATATAAGAGCGTTGGTTAAAACTATACTCTCATACATTCCCCTCTTTGCCTCCAAGGACAAAGTTCTTTGTCTCCACAGACTCCTAAGTGCACCACTCACTCTTTTTCCCTCATCAATTCTATGATTCACCTCATCTTTCATAGACCCATCCGCTGACACGTCCACTCCCAAATATCTGAATACATTCACCTCCTCCATACTCTCTCCCTCCAATCTGATATTCAATCTTTCATCACCTAATCTTTTTGTTATCCTCATAACCTTACTCTTTCCTGTATTCACCTTTAATTTTCTTCTTTTGCACACCCTACCAAATTCATCCCCCAATCTCTGCAACTTCTCTTCAGAATCTCCCAAGAGCACAGTGTCATCAGCAAAGAGCAGCTGTGACAACTCCCACTTTGTGTGTGATTCTTTATCTTTTAATTCCACGCCTCTTGCCAAGACCCTCGCATTTACTTCTCTTACAACCCCATCTATAAATATATTAAACAACCACGGTGACATCACACATCCTTGTCTAAGGCCTACTTTTACTGGGAAAAAATTTCCCTCTTTCCTACATACTCTAACTTGAGCCTCACTATCCTCGTAAAAACTCTTCACTGCTTTCAGTAACCTACCTCCTACACCATACACTTGCAACATCTGCCACATTGCCCCCCTATCCACCCTGTCATATGCCTTTTCCAAATCCATAAATGCCACAAAGACCTCTTTAGCCTTATCTAAATACTGTTCACTTATATGTTTCACTGTAAACACCTGGTCCACACACCCCCTACCTTTCCTAAAGCCTCCTTGTTCATCTGCTATCCTATTCTCCGTCTTACTCTTAATTCTTTCAATTATAACTCTACCATACACTTTACCAGGTACACTCAACAGACTTATCCCCTATAATTTTTGCACTCTCTTTTATCCCCTTTGCCTTTATACAAAGGAACTATGCATGCTCTCTGCCAATCCCTAGGTACCTTACCCTCTTCCATACATTTATTAAATAATTGCACCAACCACTCCAAAACTATATCCCCACCTGCTTTTAACATTTCTATCTTTATCCCATCAATCCCGGCTGCCTTACCCCCTTTCATTTTGCCTACTGCCTCACGAACTTCCCCCACACTCACAACTGGCTCTTCCTCACTATCTGTATATTCCATTTGTAAGGAAAATAAATGCAAGACATGGAAAACTTATGGCCTTTTCCTAATAAAAAAATTAATCTTGAAGTTAATTGGAGCACTTTCGTGGAGAAACAACACTTACTGGAAAATAGTTATGTGGCGCATGTGACAGTGTTAAAAATACAATGATTTTATCATTAAAATATTTTTTAATTAAATTTTTTGCATAATTTCAAAAATTACGTAATAAAGAGAATGTATCTTTACAGCAAAGTACCCGATCTACGTTTCTCTTTGGCATTGTGTAATGAAGAGAAAGAATTTCTCCAAACCCGTCGGCAGAAGGTGCTAGTTGCAATGAAGAAGTTACTGGGAGATAAAGCACCAGACACTGAACAACAGGTAAAGTGGTTTTCAGTTTAATATCTTTATTATGCACCCTATACCCATCCTGTGGGTGGTAATCAAAAGATTACAGAGACACATAATGGAGTCAGGTACTGGGCCCCTAAGTTTTGATAGCTGAACAAGTTACAATGGTAATGAACTATTTAAATGTTTATATCTGGTTACAATCATAATGTGTTATTTATGCAGACATGAATTAGGTCAAAGTAGAAACTCTCTGTATATAAACATGAGAGGAAAAAAAGAGTTAAAAAAAAATCAAAATACATAATTTTATTCCTTTATGCAGAACAAATAATATAATTTACATGTAAGAAAACATTGGTAGGCCGTCTTCCACCAAGGTAAGGAGACCCGAAAAAAAGTAACGCTTTCACCATCATTCACTTTATCACTGTCTTACCAGAGGGGCGCTGATACTTCATTTATTAAGTACAATATGAAAATGGAAGAAATCACAATTAAATGCCTGTTTGTCAAAATGAAAAAATACCACAGTGAAAACAGGAAATAAAACCTGAGAGCTTTCATCTGCTTATACACATATCTTTAGAGGAATAGGTATTTTTTTCATAGGGTTAATCATGTATGTCCTTGCAGGTTCCTATTATTGGAGTACTAGGGTCGGGTGGTGGGTTCCGTGCTATGACGTGTCTCAGCGGTGCAGTGAAGGCTTTGCAAGAGTCTGGCATTCTTGACTGTGCCACATACATCACTGGGCTCTCAGGCTCTTCATGGTAAGCCAAATTTTAGGACTCACTCGCCATGGGTTCAAATCCTACCCATTCCGTGGTTTGAAAAGTTAAACCTTCTTTGTAAGCATTTAACACAGCAGCAGTGGAGCATTAATTTCTGTAGATTTTCACTATATTATGATATAGTACATGGTAATAATAATAATAATACTCTAATAATAATAATAATAATAATAATAATAATAATAATAATAATCTTTATTAAATAACAAAAAAAGGCACAATACCGTGAATGGAACGATACACAAATAACCCGCACATAAAAGAGAGAAGCTTACGACGACGTTTTGGTCCGACTTGGACCATTTACACTTTGTAAATGGTCCAAGTCGGACCGAAACGTCGTCGTAACCTTCTCTCTTTTATGTGCGAGTTATTTGTGTAACCTTTATTGCTACATGTACATGTATACAGTAGTTTCAAGCTTTTCATATTGCTTATAATGTACTCCCAAATAAACTTCAATTTACTACATCACATTTTTTTCATTTTCCCAGGTACATTTCGACACTGTATTCGCATGATTTATTCCCCAATGTAACACATGCTCAAATACAAAAGGAACTTCGAGACTCTGTCACAATGGACTGGAAGTGGAAACTCCTCAATGCACCAAAGTACGTGGCCAGTATGGTTGCCAAATACAAACAAGGACAGCCGGTGTCATTCACCGATTTCTTTGGTCATCTTCTTGGAGATGTTCTTCTCAAAGGGGTAATAAGAAATTTTATTACTTTTTATTTCTTGACCTATAATTATGTAAAAATTTTAGAATTTTAAACAAAAGTTGTCTTTGATCTCAGATTAAGTCATAATAAACGACTGTCAATGAATAAACAGGAAGATGGCTATCTTTGTTATACAGTATACAGTGGACCCCCGCTTAACGATCACCTCCCAATGCGTCCAATTATGTAAGTGTATTTATGTAAGTGCGTTTGTACGTGTATGTTTGGGGGTCTGAAATGGACTAATCTACTTCACAATATTCCTTATCGGAACAAATTCGGTCAGTACTGGCACCTGAACATACTTCTGGAATGAAAAAATATCGTTAACCGGGGGTCCACTGTACTAATATTCCTGAAATCTTACTGTAAAATTTGAATCATTAAAATAAAAATTTATTTCAGCAAAAACACAAAAAACTGACCGAATCACAGCGGATACTTGTCCAAGGAGTCGTACCCATGCCTCTTTACACATGTCTTCATGCCAAGAAGAAAGTATCATGTCGCTCTTTCTCAGTAAGTACACTAGCAGGAATTTTCATAGAGACCATGTTCAGTTTTGCCTTGCATTATATATTAAAGAAATCCAGTGGAAATAAGTCTGAGGGTTATCCTGGTAAATTATACCATGTGTGATAATTGTATTTATGTGTACCTGTTCTAAATAAACTCACTTAACCCTTAAACGGTCCAAACGTATAAATACGTTCTCTTGCACAGCGCCCCTAATATTTTGTGAAAAAAAAATTGTTTTTTTGTGTAGGAAAAAAGAGCAAGTGGTACCCAGGCATCCCCAATTTTTTTCGTATGGCACACACTGAGTGCACACACCCATTCTTTCATGTCTAGGCGACTCAGGCCTATCGTGCCAGTGTTGAATGAATGGCAAATGAAACGTATATATACGTTCGGGGCACTACGCGAGAGAACGTATATACATGTATACGCTTGGACCATTTAAGGGTTAAATTCTTGATTTAATGGGATAATAGTGAGGAATGGATGGCTAACAATGGTGATTGTAGTAGATAGTGGTAAGATTTGCCATGATAGTATCAATTACAAACTGCTCTGTAAACAATGGAATTTGTCTGTTGCTTCTGATTCAACTGACCTAGTAGATTGTTCCATATTTCTCTAATCCATTAAATCAAGATCTGTTTACTGTTTCCTGTTGATTATTATGTGCTTTTTGAAGAGATGCAATGTTTCTATGTAATTTTTACTTTATAAGATGATGAATCATTCAGTATGGGAGCTGTGCCTTAATCCTGGTGAAGGGTTTTTTAATCTAGTGAATTAAAGTCACACTTTTCTTCCCTAGCAACTTCATTATATCTCATTCCTCCAGATGCTATGTAATGTACAGTTTGCAGTTAACAAGACTCTGAAAGTCTATAAAAATTCTTTTCACTTTACTTTTATAGAGCTATGTTAAGTAAGTAAGTAAGTAAGTAAGTTTATTCAGGTATACACAAATACAGTTACATAGAATTATCATACATAGCAGCATATGTGTAGAGAACCTGGGATAACCCAAAAAAGTCAGACAGAGTGACTTATTTCCATTGGGGTCCAATGTTGTATCAGCTTTTTATTTAAATGATGTAGATCATTATTGTGGCACTGGTGGCCTGGTGGCTACCACTCTCACTTCACACGGTGAGGGCCTGGGTTCGATTCCCAGCCAGAGTAGAAACATTGGGCGTGTTTCTTTCCACCTGTTGTCTATGTTCCCTATCAGTAAAATGGGTACCTGGGTGTTAGTCGACTGGTGTGGGTCGCATCCTGGAACACTGACCTAATTTGCCCGAAATGTTCAGCATAACAAAGGGCTTTCTATATGGTAGTGCAGTATGTCATTGATGTCAGCTATGGTCTGTATACCATGTACATGTACTTGTAGTAAATGAAGATATTCTTTGCTTGAAGTTTCAACTTTTTTATATCATCATTATAAGGTGAAATTCATCGTGGAAATCTCATACAGGTTCCAAAACTTTGCTTATTGAAGAATTGATGATTTTCCAGAAGATTATTTTAGTGACCTGTAGTGAAAGTTTTTTACCTGGATCAAACCTGATGACCTCCCATTTCCCAGGCACTATATGACCCCCAATATATTTAGCTCTTCCTAATAATAATAATCATAATACTAATATGTTCCTTCCTTTTTTGGGTCACCGTACCTTGGTGGCAGACAGCCAATGTTAAAGAAAGATAATATAATAATAATAATAATAATAATAATAATAATAAAAATTATACTGTACGTATTACTATTTTTCAGGAGTGGGTTGAATTCTCTCCATTTGAGATAGGCATTGCAAAGTATGGTACATTTATGAAGACACAGGATTTTGGATGCAAATTCATTGTTGGGAAAAAAATAAAACATTTTGATGAATTTCCTCTCCATTTCCTGCAAGGTGAGTTCTACCTTCAGATTCCTACTGTTTTTTTAACACTTGAACCGTAATAAACTTACTTACTTACTGTCGCTTTCCAAAGATATGTAGTATTTATAAGAATAGTTCCTTATTTTTGGGCACTGTATCTTAAATTTAAGTGATGAAGATCTTCAGTAGTATGCCTAGAGTATTTGCTTAAATATTCAATAAGTGCATTTATGAATCAGATTAAAAACATAAATTTTATTTGTAGGATAAATTTTCAGTTATTTAGTGATCCATTGATTTAGCGGACTAATGAGGGGCTGGAGCTGGTGGTTGAAAAATGGTTATGGAAAAAGGCTTTTATGTATGGTTCAGGACATTTATTAGAGGACTGAAGAAGCCACTCGTGACGAAATGTTTCCTCTAATAAATGTCCTGAATTGTACGTTAGTGTCCTTCTTTACATCTTGTTGGTATCACCATACCATTTTTCAGTTGATATTGTGGTGAGTAGAGATAATTGTTTGGCTGTGATCATATTATTATTATAATCAGAGCCAAGTACTAAACCCACAAGGGTCATACAGTGTTGGACTGTGATCATAACAATAACAAGATATTTTGTAATCAACAGTCTTTGTTGGTTCCATGTCAGTTGACACTGGATTTTGTTCTTTTTTTTTTCAAAGTCCTCTAAATTGGGAGCTAATAGTGTTTTAACTGCTTAAACAAAATACATTCAGGTCATTTTGTGCAGAACAGAACGAGAAAAATGGGGTTTGAATTTGGTGGGCTCGTATAGGAACATAATCAAATTCCAAATGAAATTCAACCTTTTGCAAATGTTGATGTGGTAATCAAATGTACAGCCCAAGCAAAAAATAGGTAGATAATTGTATTATAAGTCTTTAAATGGTTTTCATTAAGTAATGAGATGATCTTTATTTTAGGTGTATGGGGCAGTGCCTTCACAGTACTAATCAAGACACTGGTAATGGAGGGAGGGAAGAAGGACATTGTACAGATCATGAGAGATGCTCAAAAGGATGAACTGGAAAGTAAGTACATATTGATATCTAAATATTATTGCCACAATAAAAGCATTGTACAGATCATGAGATGCTCAAAAGGATGAACTGGAAAATAGGTATTAATATTTAATTATTATTGCTGCAAAAAATGTTTAATCTGCTGAGTATGTCTCTTACTCACTGTTGATGCCTAGATTTTTTCCACTAACTGCTTTTCCACTAGGATAATGCATCAGTAAAAGTTCCTTGAATATGTACAGTATATGTTTAATTTCTAAAAATTTACTCATGCCTCAGATAATGTTATGTAAGCTGAACTAAAGATAAAAAAGTATACCTAGAGAGGATGTATAAAACATCTTCACTTGATATAGAGAAAAAAATTACTGAAGGATTAGAAAAAGTTCTTTAAGTTCTTTATAATGTTTTGAAGTATGAAAAACTGCTTTCTGTGAGATAATAGTGAGACAGAAATCTCATAACCTGTTTACTGGGCAATTTAAAATTCAGATTGTTGGATGTAAGGATGCAAATGCACAGCATCTCTAATTACAGGCCCTGAGCAAAGTCTTACATCTTAAGTTAATGTAAGTTCACAGACTCAGCTAAACCCATGTGAGTCATCCAGCTCAAGATGTGGTGAAGGCTCAATCCTCCGTCTGCTTAGTGCGAGACAGATACACTTCCTATCTGTAGAGTTTTTCTGAGCCACAACACAGTTATAAATTGAGTTATGGTGAATGTGCTTCCTTGTTTGAGTCACCCTAACTTGGTGGGAAATATACAGTGTGGTAAATAAATTCATATTTAGACTAGCAAAAAAATTAGGCTAGCAATCTAATTCAATAGTAACTCATGTGTTTATATTATAATATACAATATGTACAGTACTTTATAGTATTTGTCATTACTACAAATACTTTTTTCCTTTTCAGATCAAAGAAATGATACACACAGTTCAGGGGAGAGTTCAGACTCTGAAGATGAAGAAGATATTCAAGGTAAGGATGATAAGGAATCTGAAGAGGAATCTGATGAACATAGAAGTACACTGAAGCAACAATTTAAGTTACAGCCTTTGGAAAATGGCTTATCAGAATTTTCAAAGTCTGTGGACCAGAAAACCAACCAAAACAAAATAATGCAGACATCCAAATCATTTGATTCTCTATCTCTAAATGACTCTGAAGAGAGAAGAAAACTTTCTGGAAAGACTGAAGAAGATTTAAAGCAAAAAAACAGAAAATTTAGTTTTGATGTGACCAGGAGAAAAATTTCTAAAGAGGAAAGAAAGACCAGCAGTGCGAGTGACCCGGGGGGTAATACAGAACTCCAGACAGCTCGGGCCTCGAGATTAACTCGCAAAGGGGCCATTAAAGGATCACGCATAAAGAAAGACGACGCAGTCGAACAAAACGTCTGGTCTGAAAGAAGGTAAATACTTCATTGTCAATTGAATTATCCCATATTTGGAATACAGGCTGTTGTTCTAGTCTTAATGTGCACCATCGTAACTTGCAGTATCTACTTTCAGTATCAATGAGTCATTTTACTTTTATAAGAAATATAACTTTATCATAGTTAATAAAAGAAAATAAAAAATAATGAACTCTCATAAAATAATAAATCATTACAAACTTTTGATTATCCAGCCTATTATAAATACATGTAATCCCTCTTGTCCATATACTGCAACCACAACACTAATCAAGTTAAAATACATTATAACATGCACTACTGCATGTCATTATACATTATTTTCATTCACTCAGAGAAAAATTGCTGTTGTTCTTTTTTTCATTAAGACTCAAAATCATGATTCAGTTTTTATTTTACAGAAAAACACTTCGAAGGTCAAGAATAGAAAAGAAAGCAGGTTTATGGGATGCACTGAAACAGAACATCATGACGGGGACCAATATACTCAACTCCCGAGCAGGGAGAGCTGGCGAAGTGCTGAATCCCTTCCGTGGACTTTCCTTGAGGCATTCATTTCCTATATCACCTTTTGCTGTTGATGTTATGGGTGAAGATGAGGATCAGGAGGACAAAGTGGATTCTGAGAGTAAGCTTCTACACTATATTATGTCCTGTCAGTAAAGAATTTGTAATAATTTGTGCCTGCCTCAGTGGGAGTCGGCCAGTGTGCTAAAAAAAAATTGTGCATGTACTGCATTAGTCCTGAGAGTGATGGGATTTATATTATTATTATTATTTTGGTTACTGGGTATTCATTTACAAGATTCATGACTATTAGTTTTTAAAGGTTATGAATTAAAGAAACATTTCTAATGAATAAGAGGTTGCCTGGATACATAATATTTGAATAATGAATTTTAAAATGTTCCTGTAAATATTGACAGAGATACTTACAGTGGTGTCATTTTATTTTTTATCCTTTAAAGCTCTTCTTTTAGCCCTACTTCATTTAGACTTTGTGCTGTATGTACCTCCCATTCGCTAAAGGTCTATAAACTATGGGTTTAGCATTTCTTCACGATTATATGAACAAATGATGTTCACAAGCTTATTAGTGATATAAATTTGTTCAGTAAAGTTGTCCTGAATCTTTCCCTCCATTGATAATTAGAGAGCATTTTCATTTCTAGTCACACCTGATATATAGGTGGCTGAACCTAATGTAGCACCTGCTGCTGCATTAGGTGCAGCCACTGCCCTTCATACAACAGCATGGAGCATGCAGGCCAGGAGGCTCATGCCCCTGCATCTCTGCCACAATAAAGGGCAGAGATCAGGGAAGCACCATCACACATGACTGCACCATGATTCACAAACTCATAATGAAACGATTGCAAACAAACCACGACTCGCTGTGAGTTCAATCCCCACCCGTACCATGGTTTGTTTATGAGTGCACTATTTTTATATCATATCCAAATGGCTGCTGACATTAGTTTTGCTCTACACCGAGTGAAACATTGTCTTGATAAATGCTTGTTCTGCAACATCTGCCCCTCAAGGAAGGTTCCTTGATGTTGGTGAGGGGCTCTTGATTTAGGGAATTGGATCTGTGTTCCAGTTCCCCGAATTAAGCCTGAATGCTTTCCACATCCCCCCCAGGCGCTGTATAATCCTCCGGGTTTAGCGCTTCCCCCTTGATTATAATAATAATAATAATAATCTGCAACATCTCTTCATTATTTCTGTATCGAATGTCCATTGTTTATGATGGATATAAATTAGTAAGCAAGCTCTGATTATCTTTTCTTCATTAGTGTTCATGGTTTCTTTTTGAATGGGATTGATTCACTGCATCTGGTTTCTCATATTTGTATATCACTGAATTTACAACTAACTCACAGTATGGAAATATAACTAGACAACTTTTGAAAATACTAGAGGATGTCTAGAAATAAAACTAGATGACATTTGGTAGTGAAATTAGATGATTTCTATAGATGAAACAAGGAGTTTAGAGGTGAAACTAGATATTGTTTGGAGATGGAATGAGATAATGTTTAAGTATAAAATTAGATGTTTGGAGATGAAAATTAACAGTTTATTTAGATGAAATAAGTATTAGTATTTAGAGTTGAATACTTGCAAATGTATTTAGATGATGCTAAAAGATGAAATTTGATAATGGTTGGAGATGAGACTAGACACCTTTTGGAGTTGAAAATAGACACCTTTTGGAGATGAAATCAGACACCTTTTGGAGATGAGACTAGACACCTTTTGGAGTTGAAAATAGACACCTTTTGGAGATGAAATCAGACACCTTTTGGAGTTGAAAATAGACACCTTTTGGAGTTGAAATCAGACACCTTTTGGAGTTGAAAATAGACACCTTTTGGAGTTGAAAATAGACACCTTTTGGAGATGAAATCAGACACCTTTTGGAGTTGAAAATAGACACCTTTTGGAGTTGAAAATAGACACCTTTTGGAGATGAAATCAGACACCTTTTGGAGTTGAAAATAGACACCTTTTGGAGATAAAAATGGATGACATTTGGAGATGAATCTAAAAGTTTTGAAATTAAACTAGATTATATTGACATTGATTTGGGAAAAAGTGGATTAATGTAATTTAAAATAATAGTCTCATGTGTAGCAGTGGCATATACTGTACCTGCAACAGGTTGGCAGAGGCTACTGCAGATCAAATTTTATGTATTTGAGGGAAAGATTTTCAAGTGGCAAATGCTCATGTCTTGTAAGTTTCAAAATTCTGGTGTCTATTTCACAAGGTTTAAATTCTTTGAGAAATAAATGGCAAAAGTTCAGTTAGAGCTATATACTTTACTGTACAATTAAATAATATGTTAACCAAATAAAGAGATATTTTAATTTTGAAGGGAAGAAATTTTTTAGGATAAGCACTTGTTTAGTCTCATAATTTATTACCAATTCTTGCATTGACTGAGTGTCTAAACATTATTTTCTTTTTTTACAGTGGATATCGGAATCAGCAGCAGATACAGACCTTTAGACAACACAGCAAAGAAGTTGTTTATAGTCGACTCCGGCTTGGCTTTCAACTCTCCGTACCCTCTCCTCCTGCGGCCACAACGAGCTGTGGATATCTACCTTTCATTTGACTTCTCTCAGAGAACTTCAGACAAAACACAGCCTTTCAAAGAGCTTCTTTTTGCTGAAAAGTGGGCAATTCAAAACAAAGTTCCATTCCCTCCAATAGAAAACCAGGTAAACCTTGAAACATATTACCATAATACAGGTCGGCCATCATTAATCCAGCATCATTGGGACCTGTAGTGTGCCGGATTAGTGATGGCCGACCTGTACAATATCTGTTTTGAATAAGTTTTAATTTTTTTATGTTTAATTATCATTACAAAGTTATATGATACCAACAAGTATTGGAAATTCAGTGCAATGCAATATAACTCTATTTCTTTTCTGCAGTATACAATATATAATTTACATGTAATAAAATATTAAGCACAAAAGAAATCCAGTAGCATGCAGTGCATTTCACGCAGACTAATCACAAAATCATGGACTGTATAGTTTTAACACTTCCCCTTAAATGTACAGCAATAATAATAATTAATAATGTGAAAAGACACAAAATGCAGTAACTTAGGACATATTTATTGTAATTTATTGTAATGGTGACCCTCCTCGAAGGAAGTTCCTTGATGCTGGTGAAGGGCTCTTGATCTTGGGAATTGGATCTGTGCTCCAGTTCCCCGAATTAAGCCTGAGTACCTTCCATCCTCCCCTCCACATCCGCTGTATAATCCTACGGGTTTAGCGCTCCCCCATGATTATAATAAAAATGTAATGATAATCAAGCGCTAAACCTGTAAGGGTCATATAGTGCTGCATATTTATTATAAAGGTTTCAGTCTTGCGGCCTTGATTGCTCCACATTTGGAGTGATCAAAATGCTGTTATTATTTATTATTACTCTACATTTAATTGGAAGTGTTAAAACTATACTTATGACCTCCCATTCCCTAGAATGGGAGGTCATGAAGTCTGATCTCAGGAGGACAGGTTTGAGAAGAAATGGTTGTGAAGATACCTGTATTACTGTTATAACATTTCATCCATGACTGGACTTTATCAAATGTGTGCAAAAATACATATATACTGCCTTATAAGGCAGTCATAGGAGAGGTCAGAGGTTTGATAAAGAAAAAAGTCCAGGAGGTGATGAAGAGGTGAGCTCACAGAAGTGAGATCAGGAAGGTCAGGCGACCCTGTGACTGTACCTCCCTCACTTTATCTCTTACTTCATCCCTGAATCATTTCCCCTACCCCACATTGACCTCTTCTGTGACTTTTCTCGAACTTGACCTCAGGATTCCTATTTGTTTTATGAAGTGGTATATCTGTACACCTCCATGGGAAAGTGGAACAGAATTCTTCCTCTGTAACCCATGCATGTCATAAGAGGCAACTAAAATGCCAGGAGCAAAGGGCTAGTAACCCCTTCTGTATACATTACTAAATTTAAAAAGAGAAATTTTGTTTTTCTTTTTAAGTCACCTTGACTCTGTGGGGTATGGCCAGTTTGTCGAAAAAAAAAGTATCTATATACCCGGAGGGTGTTCGGGGGTCAACGCTCTCGTGGCCCGGTCCATGACCAATTCTCAGGGTGGATCAGGGCCTGATCAGCTAGGCTGTCACTACTGGCCACACGCAAACTGACATACGAACCACAGCTGAACCTGTCCAGCTTCCTCTTGAAGACAGCCAGGGGTCTATTGGTAATCCCCCATATGTATGCTGGGAGGCAATTGGTCCCCTGACACTTATTGTGTTGTCTCTTAACATACTCGTGGCACCCCTGCTTTTCATTGGGGGGACATTGCACTGTCTACTGAGTCTTTTGCTTTCATAGATACATCTATCTCGCCTGCATTCCAAGGAGTACAGGTCAAAAGGGACTTCAGCCGTTCCCAGTAATTGAGGTGCTTTATTGTACTTATACTTGCAGTGACCTGGAGTTTACCTGGAGAGGGTTTCAGGGGTCAATGCCCCCACGACCCAGTTTAAGACCACACCTAATGGTGGATCAGGGTCTGATCAACCAGGCTGTTACTGCTGGCCGCACGCAAGCTGACGTACGAACCACAGCCCGGTTGGTCAGGTACTGACTTTAGGTGCCTGTCTAGTGCCTTCTTGAAAACAGCCAGGGGTCTATTGGTAATCCCCCTTATGTATGCTGGGAGACAATTGAACAGTCTTGGGCCCCAGACACTTATTGTGTTGTCTCTCAGTGTACTTGTGGCTCCCCTGCTTTTCATTGGGGGAATGTTGCATCTCCTGCCAAGTCTTTTGCTTTCATATGGAGTGATTTTCGTGTGCAGGTTTGGTACCAATCCCTCCAGGGCCTTCCAAGTGTGTATTATCATGTATCTCTCTCACCTGCGTTCGAGGGAATACAGATCAAGGACCTTCAACCGTTCCCAGTAGTTTAGGTGCCTTATCGCACTTACGTGTGCCATGAAAGTTCTTTGTACACTCTCCAGGTCTGCAATGTCGCCAGCCTTGAAGGGGGCCGTTACTGTACAGTGTGTTATTTTCTATAATTGACAAAGTCCAGTCATGGCCAAAATATTATAGCGGTAATACAAGAGTTCTTGAAGCTTGCTGTCCTTTGCCTTCATTTACCCAGAAAAGGATAGCTCCATTTCCTTGGATCAAGAACCTTGCATCAGCCTTAAAGCACCCTCTCAAAGGGGTTATTAAAACTAAGAAATATTGTATAAAACATTATTTTAGCACTGAAGTTTAAATATACAGTGCAGATACTGAAAAATATATTTATTTTACAGGTTGCTCAGTATGAAAATGAAGAAGTACGTGAGTGTTACGTTTTCAGGCATCCAACCGACCAGTTTTGTCCGGTCATATTGCATTTCCCTCTAGTCAACAACAAGTTTAAGAATTTTAAAGCACCAGGTATGTTAAGGAAGTGAATTTTATGTAATTTATTGAGATTTTTGTGGGCTTTATATACTGTACCTCTTCTGAAGGTTTTCCAAAAGTTCTGAATATACCAGTGTAGATCCCTCACCTAACTTAACACAAAGTTAGATTGACGAAGGCTGAGGTATATATTCACACTAGAAAGTTCAGAGGTATATATTCACACTAGGAAGTTCAGAGGTATACATTCACACTAGAAAGTTCAGAGGTATACATTCACACTAGAAAGTTCAGAGGTATACATTCACACTAGAAAGTTCAGAGGTATATATTCACACTAGAAAGTTCAGAGGTATATATTCACACTAGGAAGTTCAGAGGTATACATTCACACTAGAAAGTTCAGAGGTATACATTCACACTAGAAAGTTCAGAGGTATACATTCACACTAGAAAGTTCAGAGGTATATATTCACACTAGAAAGTTCAGAGGTATACATTCACACTAGAAAGTTCAGAGGTATACATTCACACTAGAAAGTTCAGAGGTATATATTCACACTAGAAAGTTCAGAGGTATATATTCACACTAGAAAGTTCAGAGGTATACATTCACACTAGAAAGTTCAGAGGTATACATTCACACTAGAAAGTTCAGAGGTATACATTCACACTAGAAAGTTCAGAGGTATACATTCACACTAGAAAGTTCAGAGGTATATATTCACACTAGGAAGTTCTGAGGTATATATTCACACTAGAAAGTTCAGAGGTATATATTCACACTAGGAAGTTCTGAGGTATACATTCCCGCTAGGAAGTTCTGAGCTGTACATTCCCGCTAGGAAGTTCTGAGCTATACATTCCCACTAGGAACTTCTGAGGTATACATTCCTGCTAGAAAGTTCAGAGGTATACATTCACACTAGGAAGTTCAGAGGTATACATTCACATTAGGAAGTTCTGAGGTATACATTCCCACTAGGAAGTTCAGAGGTATACATTCACATTAGGAAGTTCTGAGGTATACATTCCCACTAGGAAGTTCAGAGGTATACATTCACACTAGGAAGTTCAGAGGTATACATTCCCGCTAGGAAGTTCAGAAGTGTACGTTCACACTGGTGCCGTGACATACATTATGTTCTGTGGGAACAGACAAAGCTGAAGAAACATAGAACAAGAGGTGATGTGATCTTGATATACAAAATACTCTGGGAAGCAAAGTTAGTAAGGACAGATCTAAACGGAGACAAATATAAAACAGATGTGAATGAAAACCTAACATGCAATCAAACCATAAAGATACCAGAAACATGTCTGTACATGAGGAAGCGGAAGAAGCTTGACAGTAACATAAATCCACGGGGAAGTGGAACAGAATTCTTCCTCCATAAGCCATGCGTGTCGTAAGAGGCGACTAAAATGCGGTAAGTGTTTCTTCTTTTTCGGGTCACCTGCCTTGATGGGAAACAGCTGGTGTGTTAAAAAATATAAATAAATAAATAAATTATGTCAGTGAATCAAAAGCCATCTCCTCTGGATGGTGATCGTTTTTTGACATTCCCTCATTTTGGCAGCAGGCAATTTTTATCACTTGCATCCATAGAAGGGTGCATTATTTACAATGCAGTACATTAGTTTTTTGAAGTGCAGTTGTATCATCATCATATCTTTCATGGGCTTTAGTGATTGTCCTTCTGTTTTTTTTCCACACACTGGCTGTCACTCACCGAGGCTGGGTGATCCGAAAAAAGAAGAAACGTGTTTCTTCTTTTCACATTTAGTAATGTATACAGGAGAAGGGGTTACCAGCCCCTTGCTCATGGTATTTTAGTCACCTCTTACAACATACATGGTTTACAGAGGAAGGATTTTTCTCCACTTTCCCATGGAGTGTCCTGCTAATTATCCTCAACAAATTCTAGTAGGGTAATATTCAAAAATAATAAACAATTTCCTGTTTTATTTAATAAATAGATGATTTTTTTTTTGTAAATGTAGGATGTAATGAGAACATCCTTACTATGAATTACTATGTTTTTGGCGCCTGAATTAAAATAAATTTACTTATAAAATTTTATTCTTTTCAGGAGTTCCACGGGAAACTGAAGAGGAAATTAAATTTGCTGACTTTCCCATTTTTGATGATCCAAATAATTCATTTTCTTCTATGAACTTTGTGTACGAACCAAAGCAATTTGATCGTCTGACAAAGCTAGTGGAGTTTAACACCCTGTTGTGCATCGACACTGTGAAGAAGGAAATTGAAGATGTTATCTCCAGGAAAAAACAGTATTACCCAAGAAAGATCACTTTAGATGCTGTGGTCAAGACAGTGAAACGTGTGTCAAGCTTTTGTGGCATTGTAGGCAGTTCAGATCTCAAATTGAAAGTTTCCAAAAAAAATGAAAACCAGTTGAAAACTTTTGCACGGAAATCACTCATACAGGACCGCCAGATTAGTAGAGACAGCTCTGAGAGTGACTACACAGATGCTTTAGAGGAGCTCTCAGATGAATCCATTAATTTGTGAACCTAGGTACAGGGGAACCTCGGCTTACGAATTTAATCCGTTCCGTGACCTCGTTTGCATCCCGATTTGTTCATATGCTGAGTCAATTTTCCTCATTTAAATTAATTGAAATGGCATTAATGCATTCCAGCGGACTCCCTGCTCTTAGGAGGCATGACAAAATACTTCATTATGATGCTAATATCAACTCTACGGCTTATTTATATATCACAATTCACCTAATTTCACCATCACTCAAGGAATGCACAACAGGTGCATCATTGTCAGTGTTCAGCATTTCTTCGATGTCAGCTTCCTGTAACTCCATTATCACACAGTCAAGATGAGTAAATAGAATTGTCAACGCTTATTGCTTGGGTACGCTTATTCTGTTAGTGGGTTGGATCTGTGAAAGACCTGCCTAATATGGGCCAACAGGCCTAATACAGTGTTCCTCCTTTCTAATGTTATTATGTACCCACAACACCAATCATACCCATCCCCTCCCACTCATATATTTGTCCAATCTCTTTTTAATGCTACCCAAGGTTCTATCGAAGCTAAAACCTTGGGTAGTTTCAAATTTAGGTTGGATAAATACATGAGTGAGAGGGGTTGGATTTGAGTGGGACTTGCACGTGAGTAAATAGGATTATTAAAGCTTATTGCTTGGGTAGCGTTTATTCTGTTAGTGGGCTGGATTTGTGAAGAACCTGCCAAGTATGGGCCAACAGGCCTGCTGCAGTGTTCCTCCTTTCTTATGTTCTTATGTTGATGAGTGGAACAATCTGCCTAGTTTGGTTATTGAGGCTAAAACCTTGGGTAGTTTCAAATTTGTGTTGGATAAATACATGAGTGGGAGGGGTTGGATGTGAGTGGGACCTGCACATGAGTAAATAAAATTATCGAAGCTTATTGCTTGGGCAGCATTGAAAATTGAGTTGGGCAAATGTTCTGTTAGTGGGATGGATTGTGAAGGACCTGCCTAGTATGGGCCAACAGGCCTGCTGCAGTGTATTATTATTATTAGTATGGTTGTATTAAAGTAATAATAATAATAATTATTATTATTATTATTAATTTAGGAAGGTGAAGCACAGATCCAATTCCCTTGATCAAGAGCCCCTCACCAAAGAACCTCCCTTGAGGGGGACGTTCACATCCTGAAATTTTGTTCGTATCCAGAAGCAAAAATCGATCGAGTGACTGTTCATATCGTGAAAAATTCGTATGGTGGGGCATTCATAAGCCGAGGTTCCACTGTATATGGGTGGCTATGAACTATTGTCATTACATATCATCTCTCCTGAAATAGCAGCTTACTGCATGAGCTTCATGTAAACTTACATTTAACAATACAATATTGTATTTAATGTATTCCATTTAAGTTTTAAAGATATTATAACTGGCAAATATTTTGGTAAAAATATGGATCAAGTATTTTTGTAGATAAAAATCCCTTTAGCTTGATAACAAAATTCCGAAGGTAATATACACTGGGCTTTTGAATGTGACTATTCGGTATTTAGAATTACAATCCTTAATTTGTATACCTCAGTTTTATACATCAAAATTATATTCAACAGAGGAATTTATTTTGTTTGATGTTTATTATATCAGTATGTTGCAAAGAGAAATTGTGTGCCAGTTAAGACCTGTGGAGTATTGTGACTTCCTTTAATTAGGAATACTACATTTCATTAGTTGTTAATTGTTCATCTTGGCATATTGAAAATGTACATGAAATAAGCTGTGCTCTCTTCTACATTTCATTGTCATTAATAACTGTTCATGATAGGTGTATACTGTCCTAAACTTCATTTTCATTAAAAACTGTTCATGACAAATGTATCCTGTAGACATATTATTTATTTATATTATAACTGTTAGTACAAATGATATTGTACAGTCAGTACATTAAACATTTATACAGAGAAAAGTATTTTTATTTTCTAACTACATTGCTCTGATACACAATAACTCTAAACAACTTGAAATTCTGCAAAGTTTCAAGGTATAATGGAGAGATACAGAACCCATGGAGGATGTAAACAACAATGGTGCACACATGCCATAATAGTGAGTCAAGTAGGGAGCTGTATAACGAGTTTTGGTCATAATTTGAAATTATATTAGCGAAATGCCATAAAGTGGGACCCAAAAGTATATGTACATAAGAAATTTCACCCCATTGTCCTCACCTGGAGTATACCTGGAGAGGGTTTCGGTGGTCAACACCCCTGCGGCCTGGTCTGTGATGAGGCCTCATGGTGGATCAGGGCTTGATTGACCAGGCTGTTACTGCTGGCCGCACGTAATCCAGCGTACGAACCACAGCCCGGCTGGTCAGGTACTGACTTTAGGTGCCTGTCCAGTGCCTGCTTGAAGACTGCCAGGGGTCTATTGGTAATCCCCCTGATGTATGCTGGGAGGGAAATCAACCTGACAACACTGGAGGACAGGAAGGTTAGGGAGGCCATGATAACATAAAATTCTGAGAGGAATTAGCAAGGTAGATAGGGACAGAATGTTTCAGAGATGAAACACAGCAACAAGGGGTCACAGCTGGAAGCTGAAAACTCAGATGAGTCACAGGGATGTTAGAAAGTATTTATTCAGTCATAGAGTTGTCAGGAAGTGGAACAATGGAGTGATGTAGTGGAGGAAGGATCCATACATAGCTTTAAGAAGAGGTATGATAAAGTTCTTGAAACAAGGAGAGAGAGTGAGCCTAGTAATGACCAGCGAAGAAGTGGGGCCAGGATCTACGACCACAACAATGTATCTATCACATTTGCTAAGAAAATGACAGCATGGATAATGGGAACTGTCAAAACTAGGGACACCAAGTCCATGATGATTCTCTTCAAATCATTTGTTCTCTCTAGGCTGGAATACTACTGTACGCTAACTTCCCCCTTCAAGGCAGGTGAAATTGCTGAACTGGAGAGTGTACAAAGAACTTTCATGGGGCATGTATGTATGATAAGGCACCTAAATTACTGGGAACAGTTAAATCCCTTGATTTGTATTTCCTGGAATCCCCTCAAGGAAGGTTCCTTGATGCTGGTGAAGTGCTCTTGATCTAGGGAATTGGATCTGTGCTCCAGTTCCCCAAATTAAACCTGAATACCTTCCACATCCCCCCCACAGGCGCTGTATAATCCTATGGGTTTAGCGCTTCCTCCTTGATTATAATAATAATAATAATTCCCTGGAATGCAGGTGAGAGAGATACATGGTAATATACACTTCGAAAATCTTAAAGGGATTAGTACCAAACTTGCACACGAAAATCACTCCTTATGAAAGCAAAAGACTCGGCAGGAGATGCAACATTCCCCCAATGAAAATTAGAGGCGCCACGAGTACACTGAGAGACAACACAGTAAGTGTCAGGGGCCCAAAACTGTTCAACTGCTTCCCAGCATACATAAGGGGGATTACCAATAGACCCCTGGCTGTCTTCAAAAAGGCTCTGGACAGGCACCTAAAGTTAGTACCTGACCAGCCAGGCTGTGGTTCATATGTCAGTTTGCGTGTGACCAGCAGTAACAGCCTGGTTTAGCAGACACTGATCCACCACAAAGCCTGGTCTCAGATCGAGTCACAGGGGCGCTGCCCCCGAAACCCTATCCAGGTATACAGCTCGATCCCTACAACCACAATTAGGTGAATTAAGTGAGTACACACATTGTTCTTTCAAGGATTCCATTCTGTTACACAAAAATCACAACAATGCACTGACATGATAAAAATGCCCTTTAACCTCAACAGTGTGACTGACCGCACACTAACAGCACCTTTCAAGGCAGGTGATATTGCTGACCTAGAAAATGTACAGAGAACCTTCACGGCGCGCATAACGGAGATAAAACACCTCAATTACTGGGAGCGCTTGAGGTTCCTAAACCTGTATTCCCTGGAATGCAGGCGGAAGAGATACATGATTATATATACCTGGAAAATCCTAGAGGGACTAGTACCGAACTTGCACACGAAAATCACTCACTACGAAAGCAAAAGACTTGGCAGATGATGCAACATCCCCCCAATGAAAAGCAGGGGTGTCACTAGCACGTTAAGAGACCATACAATAAGTGTCAGAGGCCCGAGACTGTTCAACTGCCTCCCAGCATACATAAGGGGGATTACCAACAGACCCCTGACAGTCTTCAAGCTGGCACTGGACAAGCACCTAAAGTCGGTTCCTGACCAGCCGGGCTGTGGCTCATACGTTGGTTTGCGTGCAGCCAGCAGCAACAGCCTGGTTGATCAGGCTCTGATCCACCAGGAGGCCTGGTCACAGATCGGGCCGCGGGGGCGTTGACCCCCGGAACTCTCTCCAGGTAAACAGTGTATAATGGATGTAGGTGTTGAATTTCAATTTGCTGTCCAGGCACAGACCTTAGAATTTTCCCTTGTTTTGTCTTGCAGTGGAAGAACCATTAACCAACATTAATTCAGCTGCGGGAAAATCATAAAGTGAAATGATTTATTTACATGGACATTAAATAGAAAAATCAGCTTACAATAATAGGTACACGAATGTTTACTATACTATTTTATAGCCTCATGAAGCTTTTAGCTCTCTTCCCTAACTGGTTAATTCTAGGACTGTCTTTGACACGTTCCATCCCTTTATTAATATATGATAAAAGGTGAAAAAGACACATGTGAAACATCTGGGTATCCTTATTGTGGACGTTTCGCCATCTAGTGGCTTTATCAATACAGATTCTAGGACATAACTTGAATACAGTAGAACTATATACAAAAGATGAGGTAATCAGTCCCTCAGCCTTATTCGTTTGGGGCCAGGAGTTATAAATTAACCTCTTCATACAAAGGGGCTTTTGGTATGTACACCCAACTATTATATTCCTCTGTACAACCTTGTAATACGTCAAAATAAACATCTTAATCATAATCTAATCTTAAAAAAAAATAGTAAAGGACCCGGAAAACAACCTTGAGGAACCCCACATGAGGGGTAACAGAAGATCCTCTTAATACAGCGTTTCTCCCAAGGTTAAGATTAACAGAGTCCCATAAAAATCTCACCATTGATCGAAACGTTGCAGTAAAAGGAGCCTGTGCTAGCAGGAGCGTGTATAAAGGGGATAATTTTAAATATGGCGGGTTGGAGGGGGGCGCCATCTTCACTACACCTGACATACTACTAACATAAGCAAGATGGAGAGACTCTCTCTAATTCTCTCACTTTGAGCCTCTCCAACACCTAGTGCTAGTTAGGGAAGAGTGGTTAGAGTTATTGTAGGGTGGTATAAGGCTGTGATGTGATCATCTGGAGTGTGAAGTGCCTGAGGAGGATGTTAATGAGGGAGATAAGTGTGGTGAGGTGATTGTCAACCTTGTTGGGTGGTTAGTGGTGCTGGGAAGATAAGTGTTAATACAGGTGTTTGTGGCACTCTTTGGCACCCCTCTGGCACTTACATTGGTGCCCTGGGTTAGTGTGGCACTGGGAGGCACCTTAGTGAAGGGTGCCATGAGTTAGAGGCAAGTGTAATGACGGTGCCTTAGTCAGCCTCGGGAAGGAGGTCACTGCTGTGGCACTGCTGGTGCCTGACCTCACCAGGCACTCTGCCTACTGGCACCTCCATAAGCCTATAGAGCATCACTAAACCTGCTTCATCCGTCTCCTGGCACTAGTACACACCTGTATACCTGGCACTACTCTCCTTTTTGTGGTTGCATGGGTCGAGTCACAGCACCCATGCAGGCACTAAGCCTACTGGCATCACTATAGGCCTATAGAACCTCCCTCGACTCTCTTCGTCCATCTCTTGGCACTATTGTACACCTGCACCTGGCACCACTGTACACCTATGCATCACAGAAATCACATTATATTCGTGGAGAGGCGCTAAACCTGGAGGGGTCATACAATGTCAGAGGGAAGTGAATGAAAGACGTCGAGGATGAGACGTAAGAGAACGACGGTAAAAATTGGGTCACGGCGGTGCAGGTTCGTGTCGCGACGCGTTCGAAATAATGTTCTCTGATACAGACTTTTACGTATGGAAAGCAAATGCGTATTTCTAGTTAATGACTGTGATATAATTTGTATAAATCATGGTCATTTTTGACCCTGGTAGAACTTAGTGCCTTGTTGAGTATAACCAGAATGTCTGTGTAGGCCCATGACAGCTGGTGATCGCTCCGTCCCCTAGTAACTGCCATGTATACCAACAAGATGGATGAACGACTCAAGGAATTATTACACGTATATCGCAATAAATTTGCTCAGGTTAGTTGGCTTGTCTTTTACTGTGTTTCTCTATATTTTCCTATGACTTAATGTGACATTTTATTGTGGCAATGTTTCTCTCTAACATTCTCTCAGTAATTCTACCATTATTACTAACATTAACCCTTAAACTGTCCAAACATAGATCTACGTTCAAGTGCGTAGCACTCGGAATGTAGAGCTTTGTTTTTTTTACATGCTTTCAAATTAAAAAAAAATAAGGTCAGAGTGCTACGCACATGAACGTAGATCTATGTTTGGACAGGTTAAGGGTTAAAAGGATGGACATTAAAGCTCCGATGGAAACAGGCATTACTTCACCAGCACCTGGGTGCACGTGCCTAAAAATACTCTACTACGTTGTCAGAAATAGTGCTTTCTTTAAATTTGCTTTTATGTGGTTAAACGTTGTTTTTTATAGGTTTGCTGAATTTAATGCACCCTAACTACCTATAAATTTATTAACCTGGGGCCTGGGGTATAGACACGTCCATGGAAATACAGATGCTCCTCACTTTACAATGGTTTGATTTATGACATCAGCTCATGATAGGTTCTTCTGAGCATAACCCTATTGTAAGTCAAGGAGCACCTGTAGTCACAGAGCACGACCTTATTGCATTATCCTAGGTTAATGCGCAAATGTACTGTAATGTATGCATGTTCAT